GGCTCCATCCCTGCCTCTTCGACCTGTTTGTTTCCTCTCCACCTATCCTCTCCTCTATCCATCTTCTATCCGCCTCCCACTCTCTCCCTATTTATTTCAGAACCCCCTTCCCCTCCCCCTTTTCTGATGAAGGGTCTCGGCCCGAAACGTCAGCCTTTCTGCCCCTATGATGCTGCTTGGCCTGCTGTGTTCATCGAGCCCTGCACCTTGTTGTCATAAAAGTAAGGATGTTAGGTTTCAGCTATACTGGGCACTTATGCGACCACAGCTCAAATATTGTGTGCAGTTTGGGTCTCATTTTTTAAGGAAGGATGGCTCAGAGTAAGTTGGTTAGATTGATACCTGGAATAAGTTTCTCATGAGGTAAGGTTGGACAGGCTGGACTTGTTTTCACCAGAGTTTAGAAGAACGAGGGTGATTTGATTGAAGTGTATAAGATCTGGAATGGTCTTGACCAGGTGGATGTGGAGACGATATTTTCCTTTATGCGTCTGTCAAGAACTAGTAGTCATGTTAACATTAGGGCTCATCTTTCAGGACAAAGATAAGGAGAATTTTTTTTTCTATCAGAAGATTGTAGGACTTGGGAACTCTCTGCCCCAGTAGGTAGTGGAGGCAGATTCATTACATATTTTTAAGGTTGTGGTGAATAGATTCTTGTTTGGCACAACTATGTGAAATTCAAAACACAAACAGATCAGCCATGATATTATTGAATGGCGGAGCATGTTTGAGGATCCACATGGTCTACCTCTCTTCCAATTTCCCATGTATGTATGTTTGTATGCTTTCCATGTCCACATTGTCAAGACCAATCTGGATTGTATACAATTCCATGCTGTCACCCCTCACTCTTGAAAACTCCAGTGTTAAGAAGTCCATCTGTTCAATCTACCCCCTGTAAGGCAACTCACTCATTCCAGGTACCAAGTTAGTAAAGCTCATCTCAACTGCCACCAACATATTTACATCCTTCCATAAATAAGGGGACCAAAACTGCACACTGTATTCGAGATGTGGTCTCACCACATGCATAACCGAGGCACAATCTCATTAGTTCTCAGTCCAGCTTCACTCCCAGTCTGTACAGGAGCATTTGGAAACATGATACAAATCTCAAAATGTGTTAGTAATGCACAGGGAAAGGCTCTGACATTCAGAAAATGGATCGACCCAGTGGGAGCGGCACTTTGGGCAAACGTTATTTTGAATAAGTCTGAGGCAGTGTTTTTTGGGATAAAGATCAGACTACCATTGGCAGCCTTATGAGCTGCAGGACTAACTGACAGAAAGGGAGTGGAACAAAATAGGGCTGTAATTTAAACCAACCTCTGACTGGAATTCATAAGTCATCATCAAGGTGAGCAAATCTCTTTGCTACAACCATTGATATGTGGATCTGCATTTCCTAGTCGATAATAAGTTTCTTGCTAGGCAATTGACTTGGACATCTAGAACATCGAGATGATTAGCACCATATCAGATACGTGAAAAGGCTCTTCTTCCACAATGAAAATAGTTGCCTCTGAGAGAGGAGATGAGGAAACTTTCAAAACTTGTCAGAATAGCTGGCGGAAGGTGTAACCTGGAGGCCACATTTGAGAACATGAGCTTGTTTGTCCACGGCTCACTGATTACCAGGACTACATTGCAGATAGACCACCTGCTGTTGATGACGCTCGAGAACTGAAATTGACGGAACTTGTATTTGATAAGGTACAGCTTGTATCAGGCTTTGGCAGAGGGTATTAAAGCACTGGTATAACTTGGGGTCAGTTCTGATACCACTTGCGAGGAGCTCTGCTATCCGCTAGGCATTTAGATGAGATAATGGACCATTGATGAGGGAGTCTGGATGCTACCCTTTGAAGCTGAGGTGGCTCTAAGCTGACCTCCCTGGTGATGATAACTTCAGACACTGGTCAAGTCTCACTGACAGATTCAGTGCTGCAAATTCTTGAATTGAGCAGATCTGTAAGGTTCAAAGTATTGTTGAGGATTAAGGGGTTAGGCTGGCTGAAGGGTTCTGGAGAGGGTAGCCTGTTCCATGGGTACTTGGACGTTGTCTAGTTGGTTTCCAGAACTCCCACCACACTCCTGCCAGAGCTACAAGGGAAATGTCCTGGAAGGACCAATGGAAACTGTTCTTTCACTGTGAACACAAGGCAGGAATATTACGAAAATGTTCCAACTACAACAGCATCTACAGACAGAAATCCTACAGACAATGGTAGAAAAATGTTCACCTGCTTGACATTCATTGCAGCAATGATTTCTTTTGTCATAGTGGTGGCTACAGCTTGCGTTCAATTGCTGTGGGTTTACCTGAAAAGTGTAAAAACAAGTTAGAAATGTGAGAACATATGAAATAGGAGCAGGAATAGGCCATTCAGCCCCTCACACCTGTCCCACCAATCTACATCACCGCTGATCTGCCCTGGCCTCAAACCTCAGTTCCTTAGTATTTCAAAAATTTATCCATCTCCTCTTTAAACCTCCTCTTTCAGCAATCTGGCCTCTACAACTCTCTGGGGCAGCGATTTCCAGATATTCACTATACTCTGGGAGAAGGCCTGTTGTTCAGTGTTATGGAATAGCTGTTTAAAAAGTCTTTTCCTGCTCAAAACCAACATTGCCCTTCATCTATTTTCCCAGCTTGCTTTGGACAACTCATCATACCTCTGCAATTGTTCTTATTTAAGTTGAGGACACTGGTTTGAGACCTGAGTTTCTCTCCCTCAAATTGAATTTGAAATTCTACCAAACTCTGATAGCTACACCTTTAAGTATGATTTCTCTTATTAATCCTACCTCTTATGCATTATTGGATCTAAAATAGCCTGCTCCCAGGTAGTTATTTAAAAGGTGCAATAATGGGATGTAGGCTTTACTGGCTGTGCCAGCATTATTGCCCACCCCTTGACAATGTGGTGGTGAGCTGCCTTCTTGAACGACTACAGTCCATGAGATGTAGGTACAATGCAGTTAGGGAGAGAATTTAAGGATTTTGACCCAGCAATAGTGATGGAACAGTGATATATTCCCAAGTATGTCTGCCCAGCCAGAGAAGCCCACATTCCCTGAATGAACAAAAAAAGTTGGGAGAGTGAGCCACTTGGAGGAGAACTTGCAGGTGGTGGTGTTCCCATGTATCTGCTGCCATCGTCCTTCTAGATGGAAGTGGTCATGTGTTTGGAAGGTGCTGTCTGAGGAGCCTTCATGTATTTCTGCAGTACATCTTATAGATAGCACACACTGCTGTTACTGAGCATCGGAGGCTAGAAAGAGTGGATGTTTGTGGATATGGTGCCAATCAAGTGGGCTACTTTGTTCTGGAGGGTGACAAGATTCAGGAGCGTTGTTGGAACTGCATTCATCCAAGCAAGTGGGGAGTATTCCATCATTTTCTTTACTTGTGTCTTGTGGATGGTGGACAGGCTTTGAGGAGTCAGGAGGTGAATTACATATAGTTCTTAAGGCTAAAGTGATCAAACAGTATGGGGAGAAAACGGGAACAGTTCACAGAGGTGGATAATCATCAATGATCATATTGATCAGGTTCGATGGGCTGAATGGTCTACTCCTACTCCTATTTTCTGTGTTTCTATGTTAATTACTGCAGGACTCCTAGCCTCTGACCTGCTGTTGTAGCTGTTGTATTTATATGGCTAGTCCAGTTCAGTTTCTGGTCAATGGTAATCCCCAAGATGTTGATGGTGGGGGATTCAGTGATGGAAATGCAATTGAATGCCGTGCGATTGCCAGATTCTCTATTATTCGAGATGGTCATCGCCTGGCATTTATGCAGCACAAATATTATTTGCCACTTTTCAGCCCAATCCTGGATATTGTCCAGATCTTGTTGCATTTGAACATGGACTGCTTCAGTACCTGAAGAGTGATGAATGGAGCTAAACATTGTGCAATCATCAGAGAACATTCCCACTTCTGACCTTATAATGGAGGGAAGGTCATTGATGAAGCAGCTGAAGATGCTTGGGCCCAGGACACCACCCTGAGGAACTCCTGCAAAGATGTCCTGGAACTGAGATGACTGACCTCCAACAACCACGACCATCTTCCTATGTTGCAGGCATGACTCCAAACAATGGAGAGTTTTCCCCCTGATTTTCTTGATTCCAGTTTTGCTAGGGCCTCTTAATGCTATACTTGGTCGAATGCAGCCTTGATATCAAGTGCTGTCACTCTTACCTGAGCTCTTTTGTCTATATTGACACTAATGCTGTAATAAGGTCAGAAGCAGAACCTAAAGTGAGCATCAATGAGCAGGTTATTTCTGAGCAAATGTTGCTTGATAGCACTGTTAATGACATCTTCCATGTTAGACAGGGCAGAATTTGTTAAGTGCATTCAGGAGGGTTTTTTGGATATGTATATAGTCCAACTGGGAAGGGACCATACTAGACCTTGTATTGGGGAATGAGTCTGGCCAGGTAATCAAAGCTTCAGTGGGGTGCATTTTGAATAGTGATCATAATTCTTTAAGTTTTAAAATAGTTATGGAAAAGGATAAGGCTGTTCCTCAGTTGAAAGTACTAAATTGAGGGAAGGCTAGTAACAACAGCATTAGGCAGGAATGGAGAAATTACATTGAGGGTAAATCCACATCTGACATGTGGAAGTCTTTTAAAAGCCAGTTGATCAGAGTTCAGGACCAGCAGGTTCCTGTGAGGATGAAAGAAAAAGATGGCAAGATTTGGGAACCTTGGATGACAAGAGATATTGAAAGTTTAATAAAAAGAAAACAGCATTTGTAAGGGTTAGGAAACTGAAATCAGACAATGCCCTTGAGGATAATAAGAAAAGCAGAAAAAAACTTAAACAAAAAATTAGTAGAGTAGAAGGGACCATGAAATGACCTTGGCAAGTCTGATTACGGAGAATCCTAAGGTATTTTATACATCTATTAGGAGCAAATGGGTAACTAGGGAAAGGTCCACTCAAGGAGAAAGGAGGGAATTTATATGTGGAGCCAGAGGAAGAGCATGTGGTCCTTAATGAGAATTTTGCATCAGTATTCACCAAGGGGAAGGAAATAGATGATGATAAGGCTAGGGAAGGGTATGTTGATATTCTAGGGCATGTTAATATTAAAAAGGAGATGTTGGAGGTCTTGAGAAACATTAAGGTAGATAAATCCCCAGGGCCTGATGGGATCTATCCCAGGATACTGAGCGAGGTGAGGGAGAAAAGAGCTGGGGCCTTAACAGAGATCTTTATGTCCACTTTAGCCACAGGTGAGGTCCCAGAAAACTGGATAGGGTGGATAGTCAAAGTCGTTTTCCCAGGGTGGAAATGTCAAATACCAGGGGGAATAGGTTTAAGATGAGAGGGAGAATGTTTAAATGAAATGTCAGAGGAACATTTTTTATATATAGAGGGTGGCACATGACTGGAAAGCGCTGCTGGGGGAAGTTGGTAGAAATACATATGCCAGCAACATTTAAGAGACATTCAGACACATGCATGAACAAGCAGAGAATAGAGGGATGCAGACCACGAGCAGGCAAATAGGATTAGTTTAGAATGACATCATGGTCAGCACAGACATGGTGGGCTGAAGGGCCTGTTCCTGTGCTGTACTGTTCTATGTTACTGATGATTAAGAGTAGACTGACGGGGCAGTAACTGGGCTATGTAGATTTGTCTTGATTTGTGTATACAGGACATATCTAGCCAATTTTCCACATTGTCAGTAGATGCCAGTGTTGTAACTGGACTGGAACAGCTTGGCTAGGGGAGCAGCAGTTATGGAGCACAAGTCTTCAGTACTATTGCCAGAATGTTGTCATGGCCCGTAGCCTTTGCAGTATCTAGCGTCTCCAAATGTTTCTTGATATTACATGGAGTGAATTGAATTGGCTGAAGACTTGTATCTGTAATGCTGGAGACCACTGGAGGAGGCCGAGATAGATCATCCACTTGTACTTCTGGCTGAAGATTGCTACGAATGCTTCAGCCTTAACTTTTGCACTGATGTGCTGGGCTCTTCCATCATTGATGATGGGGATATTTGTGGAGTCTCCTCCTCCAGTGAGTTATTTAATTGGCCACTACCATTCATGACTGGATGTGGTAGGACTGCAGATCTGATCTATTGGTTGTGGAATCACTTGGCTCTGTCTACCTCTTCTTGCTTATGCTGTTTGGTAAGCAAGTAGTCCTTTTTGGTAGCTTCGCCAGGTTGAAACTTCATGTTTAGGAATTATGTGTCAACCCAGTGAAGCTACAAACAGGACTGCAAACACATTGTGCATTATCCTGCTCCAAGAAGCATTCCCTGATGCACTCTACGAATGTATTTTCCATGTTGCCTTTGTCCATTTGATTTATCCAGTCAATATGCAGATTAAATTTACCCTTGACAATTGTAGGGCACTTCTTGTTCATCTTTATTATGTCCCGAATTATACTTTGCTCTACAATGAAGCGACTCTTCAGGGGCCTGTAGATGCCACTCATGACTTATTTTCCTTACTATCCCTTATTTCCATCTAAACTGATTCCACATCATGATCCATTGCACTTATATCCCCACTGCACTGATACTATTGTTTACTAACAAAGCTACCTCACCTCCCATTTGCTTGTTTTTACCGAATACACTTGAATATTGAGTTCTCATTCTTTGTCACCCTGCAACCATGTCTCCTTAATAGCGAGCAAGACATTTCATTTATTTCTATTTTTGCTTTCATCTCAGTTAAAAAAGCCTTAAGCTTTGACTTTCTACGAATATTCCTCATTCTGGTTCTAATTTCTACTGCACTCTTCTGTTTATAGTTGCTGTCCTTCCTTCCACTACTTCACTACCCTGCACCTCTGCTCTCTTGTTACTTTCTGATTTTAAAACTTCTGTCCAACTGAACCATCCTTTGCAGCCCACCCCCACCCGACTACATAGTTTATGGCCCTATGTACAATCCTAGTTATATGCTTCACCATGGAAATAAAATCAGAGAGTAATGAAAGCCATCATTCAATGCCTTTTGTTTCTAAGCCAAATGAGTGAAGGTTTCAGACACACTTCAGAAACTTGACTATGAACCTTTAGCCGAACTCTTTTACAGAAGCAACAGCCAAATTCAGATATTTAACTGAGGTCTGAACTGCTCCCTCAGGGGGATGTAAATGATCAAGGAGCTACTTCAAATCAAAGCAGGAAAATTCTCCACAAGCCCTGGCCATTATTTATTCTTCAATGACCTGCATTAGACAGCACCAGGCCAGCCGCATCCTTCTTTCACCATTCCTTTCTTCTTTTCTCTTTCATTTTCATCTTCATCTTTTATCTTCTTTTGGGC